TTGTTAAAATCGGCTCAGCCGTTTCGAAGATACAGGGAGTTTTTTACGGAAACCTTTGAATAATGATCAGGTATTTTTTGTTAGTTTTATATAAACGGAATTCAGAGAAACACTCCTTTTTTTAATTCAAGATTTCAGTAACGCCCACTAGCGGCCATTTCACAAACTTGAAAATATTTTCCAGGTTTTTCTCTAGAACTTTTTAGCAAGAACTTGCCGCAAGCCTCTACGATGGATATGTTCCCAAATACAGTACCTCGCATTCTTAGTTGGCCACCATGTACAAAGTCAGTCCGGAAACTTTTTGACACACCCTGGTAGATAGTAAAGATCACTCACCTGGTGGTATAAATGCAGATTCGACTTGGAGAGCCCCACAACCGCCACAATGTACGACGCACACGTGCCCAAGCTGAGGATCACACAATACCTCAACCTGATGGGCAACGTAACGTAGATGAGATAGTCCAATAGAAGCACCCAGCCGAGACTGTCCCTGGACGTAACCTCGTTCTTCTTCAGGAAGAGAGCGGCCAATAGTTGGTAGTTGGCCACGTGCCAACTCACGTGAGGTGCAGCAGCCCAGAGGTTCTTGTTGGACACGTGGCGACGGCACCAGCTCAGGATGCACGTGGAGACTAGGAGGAAAATGCCCATCGTGGCGTAGATCAGCAGGTCTTGGCCATTTGGTACCTGAAAAGAACAAGAAAAGGATTAAGGTCGCATGTCACTCTTTTTCGCTTTTTTCAACTACCTATTTACAACAGTGTTCTATTCTTTTCATTTGATTACTGTATAGAGATGACTAAAGACATCGTTTTGTCATTAAATACACTTTTTGTGTATTTTACTGTGGATTTTTTCTTCGGTCGTAGCTTGTTGACGAATATTGGTACAGTTCTGAAATTGTATGTGAGTATTCCACTTTTATGGACGAATGAAACAAGTGATTACTTTTTTACCATGAATAAAAAGGAATTCCAGAAAAATTAGTTTAAATAAATGAAAATTCACGGGATTTCTGTAGGCAACATCTAGCTACTTTTTTATAACAAGTGATTACTTTTATTCTTATCACTTTTTCCCTTGGAAAAATCTTAACTTGCTGCCAGACGAGGCTTCAAGAAATTCAAAGGTTTTTCGAAAAGAAAAAATGATAAAATGATATGGACAAAAGTAATCACTTGTTTCATTCTTCCCTAAAAGAGGAATATTTACACACAATTTCAAAGCTGTACTTAGATTTGTTAACAAGTTCCAATTGAAGGAAAAATGCAAAGTAAAATGCATTTTTTGACAAAAAAAAATTAAAACATTGTTTTTAGTCATCTGTATACGAGGGATGTCTTTTAGGTATTGCATACAGAAACATAGTAGGCCGCGCGGATCGAACGTCAGTACAGAATCTTAACCTCACTCTTTAGTAAACTTAAATTCAAAGTTTCACAACAATACGTGCAGGGTTCTTACTACAGTGAATTTTTAAGTGTCACCAAGTCATTAGAAAAATGGAACTCAACCGAAAACATTTTCGCGCCATAATTTATTACAACTTTCAGAGACAATTATCGCAACAAGAATGCCTTGCTGAGTTACTGTCTGTTTTCGGCAACGAAGCGCCACATCATTCGACAATTTCCCGTTGGTATGGAGAATTCAAACGTGGACGGGTGAGTCTTAGCGACGATTCCAGGGTGGGTGCACCAAAAACGGCAGTCACCCAGGAAAACGTCGATGCTGTCCGCAAACTCATAATTGAAGATAGACATGTGACATATCGCGAGATTGAGGCGTCCTTGAAGATCTCAAAGACCTCAATCCAAAAAAATTTACATGAAGAATTAGGAGTGATAAAATTAGTTTCTCGTTGGATACCCCACCTGTTGACTGAAGAGCAAAAAGCAGCCAGGGTTAATTGGTGTCAAAAAACGCTGGACCGTGTCAATTCCGAAAACCCAAAAAATGTGTACAGCATCGTTAGTGGTGATGAATCGTGGATTTACTGTTATGAACCAGGAAATAAGCGACAGTCGGCTGTTTGGGTGTTCCATGGTGAAGAAAAGCCAACAAAAGTCATCCGTTCTCGAAGTGTTTCGAAAAATATGGTCGCGACATGTGTGTCAAAAGTGGGTCATATTGCAACAATTCCTCTTAATGAACAAAGAACTGTTACTGCGGATTAGTATACCACCATTTGTTTGCCAAAAGTCATCACCGAGCTTCGAAAAATCAACGCCGAAAGAAGAATCATCCTCCACCAAGATAATGCAAGCTCGCACACAGCCCAAAAAACAAGGCAGTATTTAACGGAAGAAAACGTGGAATTATCGGACCATCCTACATATATTCCCGATCTAAGTCCTAACGATTTCTTTACATTCCCGAAAATTAAAAACAAAGGTTCCAGTCACCAGAAGAATAAGTTGACGCATTCAAAAATGCCGTTTTGGATCTGCCAGCAAACCGTGTTGTTTTATTTCCATATGCAAAACTTAAGAGACATCCCTCGTACACACCACAAAATTATCAGATGAAAAGTTGAAAAAATCGAAATAAGGGTTGTGCCACCTTAAGTTAGTTCAAAGGTTTTCGGTAATATCTTCTGGGTCTTGTGGTTTTTCTTCCTATGAAAAAACTGGCGAGGAAGTATTGTAATCGCAAAAAATTTCTAAATTGAAATTATATGCTCTTTGGATGGCATACAACATGCACATCATGGAAATCAATGTCACTTATTTCCGTCAGTCTGTCCGCTAATTTTATAACAGCCTTTACAAGTACCGCTCGGATTTTAATGAAATTTTCGCACTAGGTTACTACTATACCCAGGATGAAAAAACATTGTAGTTTTTGACAACCGGTCTTGTAGTGGTGGAGCTAGGGCCAAGAGCACAAAGAAAATAAAAAACGCCCAAACTGCGTTTTTTGTCGTTTCCCAGCCTCTTGGCCAGAGTTCCCCAAACTTTTTTGTGTCGTAGACCCCTTGCCATGTTTTTCCGTGTTGAGTAGACCCCCTACTTACCTGATATTGATTTCCTGTAAATTTCTAACTGTACTGAAGTTTAGTGTTAAAAACTTAAAGTAAAAACACATGTTAATTTATACATTTATTAATTGAATTTAAATTAAAACTACTCAAAATAAAATATACGTAACATTAAATAAACAGGTGTCTGACCAATAAGTGCCCGCATTGGGAATAAGTGCCCGCATTGAAAAAAAATAAGAGGGATAAAATAAAAAAAAGTGAAAAATAATAAAAAAAATGTTTTACTTAAAATAGTACAATAAGCGAGTTCGTTTATTAATTATAACGTAAACGTATGTTCTACAATAATTTCACTGTTAGTTTGATTAAATTCCGTTTCTTATACGTTTAAGTTATCTAAAAATAGGCAAAAAATTAACGAATTTTAGTGTGTACCTATCCTTGAATTTTCAGAATAATTTTAAATAAATATATGTTCTATAAAGGGGGGTTCTTTAAAAAAATCAAGTCGGGCACTTATTCCCAATGCGGGCATTTATTGGTCAGACACCAATAAACATAAAATAAACTATAAATAAAATAGCATAAGCAATAAGTCAATATTTTTAGTGAGAAGGATGAACCTAATGCTTTAATAATATATTATCAACATTTGGCGTCAATTTTGTAAGGGTTAATCTCGGCTAATGATGTCCAGTCTGTTTCTTTTTTTCGTTAGGAGATTGGTAACAGCGCTGAAGCCCCTTTCCACTAGGTATGACGATGGAAAGGAAATTAAAAAATTTCCTCGCTATATTCCATAATACGGGATAAGTAACGGGTATGTTGTTTTGCAGCCAGAATTGCTGATATCCGTTTTTAAACTGAACCTTAAGTTCTACGTTTGTACTTAGTTCAGTCAGTTCCTCTTCTATTATGACATTCGTTTCTTCTATGTCACCATATGGATTAATTATCCACGGTGGTATTACCATAGTCAAAATATCCTCAAACCTAGATTCAAAATCTGAATAGAGGGCATTTAAATGTTGAACGTAAGTTGAAACGTCGTCTTCCTGGCAGCTTGTCTGTGACAAATTGGGGAACTGAGAAAAAATATATTGCTTCATTAGTTTAACTCTGGCAAGAAACGCTGATAAGATGGACTTTGTTTTAATCAAATTTAAACTGTCGCCTTGTAATTGCAAATTAACCATATTAAATTTTGTAAACAAATCTGTTAAATAGGCGATGTCTGTTTTCCTCTTCATTCAATTTTCTTTTAAAATTTTATCTGTAGTATCCAGAAATTCTAAAATAGTCTCAAAAAGTGCAAAAAATCTTGTCAAACATAAGCCTTTCGACAGCCAGCGTACTTCAGTCTGAAGGAGTAATTGATGGAAGTGTTCGTCATTTTTTTCACACAACTGCGCAAATAACCGCGTATTCAACGCGTTGCTTCGGATACAGTTTACTGCATCAATGACTAAATGAAGTGATTCATGCAATCTAACACTCAAATTTTTAGCAACTAAATGTTGTCGATGGATGACGCAATGTATTGCTAACACCCCTGACACATTTTGTTTTAAATAGCTTATAAATCCACGATAACGTCCAACCATGGCAGGTGCTATATCTGTAGCTACTGATATTGTATTTGATAAAGGAATTGCTTTTTCAATGAAGTAATCCTTCAAAACATGAAATATTGATTCACCTTTAATGTCGGTTATCAAAGTTCTTGCGAAGAGCAGTTCTTCGTAGATTTCTTGATTCATAATAAAACGAACATATGCCAATAATAATGCTGCATTATCAGGTAAAGTTGACTCATCCATTTGTATAGAGAAATTGGTCGTTTGCAAATAATTACATAAGAAGCTTTCAATATCACAACTCATTTCATCAATACGTTTTTCAACAGTATTGTTGCTTAAGGGAATTCTTTTAATGATATCAGATGCAGGTTTGTGTAAAACGTTTTTAAAACCTCTTCAACGGCTGGCAAAATTAACTTCTCTCCGATAGTATGCGGTTTTCCGGATTTTGCTATAAGTAACGAGATATTGTAAGACGCCCGCAAACCATCATCATTTCTTTGTGACGTCGAAGCGAACATTCTGTCCAGTGTAGGTCTCTTCTGAAATTTATCTTTGAGTGTTTGAAAGTATTTCAAATCTTTCTCTGTTTTATCAGGGTGGCATCTTCTCAGATGATCTTGCAGTTTAGATGGTTTCATAGCGTCATTGCCCAAAACTTTGTTGCATAAAAGGCACATCGGCGATTGTTTGTCCGGCAATAATGGAATTAAGCCAAGTTTCAAATAATCAACAATGTACTGTCTACATTTCTTTTTAGATTCGGACATGGCATCAGTCATCTGTGGGCAAAATTGAATTATTTAAATAAGACAGAAAATCCAGCAGCTGTATATTAAAAATATTTTTTGATTTTTCCGAAAACATTCCATAATTCGAACATCTTCTTGCAACAATTAGCTCGAATAACGGAGATTGCACTGTAATTATATTACCGATTGCTAAAACTTTCAAAAAGAAACTATTGAGGAGTACTCGTGTAATTTTGCATGATTGAATATTTAACTACTAATAACTAAAGTCATGATTGGCGTAATTTATCTATCTTTGCTAACTACGAGTACAAAACTAAAATTTAATAAAACATAATGTACTTTTTTTCGCTGACGTAGACCCCTTGCAGGTTGTCATAGACCCCTAGGGGTCGATATAGACCACTTTGGGAATCAATGCTCTTGACCATTTTCGGAATTTTTTGTAGGGGTTGAAACTTGGGTGTTGGGATTGTAAATGTGACGTCTTTAGTATTAGTCAAAGACGTTCTATCATTAAGACACTTCTGTTTCCGGTAAAAACGGGAAAATTAAATGATAAGGGTCCGTAATGTGCTCACAGTTCAAAATAACTTGGCGTTGCGTGCATTACGCGATCCTGCATTGTCGGCCATTACCAACTATGGTATGGGTAACAAACTCCAACTGGTATGCGGTGGTGTCGTCACGGATACACAGAAGAATGTTTTATACATTCTAGCAATATCTGGTAACAGGGGTACATACCACTTACTCACATATCAGACAGTCAGGGAAAATAGTTTAGAAGAAAGGAAAATATGAGAGCAAAGGTGCTGAACCAATTATTTCCTAAGTAACTGTGATCTCGACATGATACATGACCATTCAAGCTATGTCGCAATACACTGTATAGTAATGAAAAAAAGAAAAAATGTCTTCTGGAAGACAGATAAGCTAAATATATTGTCATTGATTGTCATTTTACTTGAAAAAGGAGTACGTGGATGTAGCAGAAATGTCGTACATTAAACAGGGATTGAAATACATGTGGTTTGAATTAGCGACCAAACAATGGAATACTATTAACCACAGGACAAGCTTCAAGTGTTACGTTATCCAAATGTCGTTTTCAGCAGTTCTGTAAGGATATTAGGTGAAAAACCTAAAAAACGTAAAAAAAACTGACAAAATGACATCTTGCAGACTAGGTACGTTTCCTCGCAATGATCGCTGCGAGCATCATCAAAAACGTCCATCTATGGAGGAATGACTCAACGACACGACACGCTCAAGCATGCATTGCTGGTTGCAGAAAGCTAGGTAGTGTTTATCTCTGAGAATATGTGAAAGAAAGAAAGTTGGTTGAGTAGCAAGATCGCATTTTGATGATTATTGTATTCTGCATATACGGGGTGATCCTATTCAAGGGTGTGGATCTACATGAAAACTTAATGTTAGATTGCTTTATAAACTAAGGTCCAAAAATGTTTCTTACTCGGGGTGTTCAAGTTTTAGGAAAAAAAATGGAAATAATTAATATTTTCATATCCGTTTCAGATATTTCACTGATGTTTAGTACGTAGTGAAAGTTAATAAAGTTGCATATTTTTCAATGCAAAAATAATTTTTAGCTTTAACAGTGGCGTGCGTACGGGTATTTACTTTGATATTTTTTAAGAAAAAAAGTGGTACGCCAATGTCTTTTTGCCAAATAAAAATTATTTTTGAATTCCACATTTAATTTAAAAAAAATGATCTCTCCTGAATTGTTTTGTTTCGATGCGCCATTTCTGAGTAAGAAAATAAAAACCGTTCTATTGTCCGAGAAAATTAATTTAATAATTGAAGAATGCTTTTAGCAATAAATATCTAGTTGCTCTGGAATATCTCACTCACTTTTGACATCTGACAAGTCTCTATTATTCAAATCTGTCCGCTGTGACATCTTTTTCATTATTTAGTTTTTACAATTTTGTTAATAATGGTTAATTATTCAAATGCAGAAATGGCGGAAAAGCATTACGTATATGGCCTTGCCGACGATAATGGTGAGCAAGCCAGACGGATTATCATCAGAGATATCCCGATCGTGCTTTGCCAGATAGTCGAACATTTTCTAACATTTATCGTCGCCTTGTTGAAACTGGCCTGTCCGAAAAGGAACATCTGAAGGTAGACCTCTAAGTGTGAGAACACCTGAAATTGAGGAAGCAGTGCTGCACGAAGTCGAAGAACATCCTGAAACGAGTACGTGGAAGATCGCTAGACACTTAAATATATGCCATCAAATTATATCCTTACCATATTTTAAGAGTACAGGCATTACTTTCCATTGATTTTCCAAGGCGTGGTATTCTCAAAAAACTACACAAAATGAATGAAGCTAATTTTTCTCGAAATGCCATTCAGAATTTCCACAATAATCATTTGTGGGCAGAAGAAAATCCGTATGCCGTAACCGGAACCCATTTCCAACACCAATTTTCGGTTAACGTATGGACAGGAATTATTGGCCACCACTTTATTGGCCCATTCTTCTTGCTGGAACGACTTGACGGACAGACTTACCTCAATTTTCTTCAACAACGCTTGCCTTTGCCGCTTGATTATGTTCCGTTAGTAATAAGAAACAATATGTGGTACATGCATGATGGTGCACCAGCGCATTTCAATGTAGCGGTTCGTAATTATTAACAAACTGTTTATCCAAATCGTTGGATTGGCCGCGGTGGGCCCCAAGAATGGCCACCAAGGTCCCCAGACCTCAACAGTTTAGATTTCTTTTTGTGCGGCTATCTTAAGACACTAGTGTACACAAGTCCCGTTAACACTGTAGAGGAATTTAGAGAAAGAATAGTTGCAGCTTGTGATAGAATAAAAAACATTCCAGGGAGTGCGCAATTCCATGTGAAGGACGACGCAAGCATGCATACTAAGTGAAGGGGGCCATTTTCAACAATTTTTGTAATTATTTCGTTGGTTTTGACGTTATTTTTATGTTTTCAGTTGTTTTTGTTCATTACCCCTAATGTGTTTAATTTTTCCAATTAAATTAATAATAATTTTGCAAGTTAGACAATAGAACGGTTTTTATTTTTTTACTCATAAATGGCGCATCTAAGGAAAGCAGCTCGACATTTGTGTTAAATTGAACGGGGGAATCCAAAAATAATTTTCATTTGGCAAAAAAACCATTGGCGTATAATTTTTTTCTTAAAGTCAGTACCCTTACGCACGCCACTGTTAAAGCCTAAAATTATTTTTGCATTGAAAAATATGCAACTTTATTAACTTCTACTAGATACTAAATATCAGTGAAACATCTGAAGCGGTAGCTAAAAATATTAATTAATTTCCTTTTTTTTTCCTAAAACTTCAACACCCCAAGTTTTTGTTACGAAACATTTTTCTACCATAGTTTATAAAGAAAACTAACATTAAATTTTTCAGGTAGATTCACACCCTTAAATATTCGCATATCATTAAGAAACACCCTGTATATAAAAGTGTGATATTTGGCGTGTAAGAAAATTATTACTAAACATGCTTCCAATGAGGTATATCTATTACCTGTGCCCGACGGGCTATTTATATGTTGTCCTTTCTGAAGAGAGGTTATTTTATTCTTCCCGTTTTTGTTTTCAAAAGATTTGAGTGCAATTAAGCCACATCCCAGAAAAATTAGGAATGACGCATCACCCATCAAACATTTTTGTAATGACTCACATCTAGGCGCTGAATGACTGGAAATAAGTATAGATATTCGTGTCTATAGCATATTTTCTCAACTGCTCCTTCACCAGCCAGGGATTTTCTTATCTCTTTCATTTTTGAATTTAAGCAGATTTACATAATGTAGTGCATAATAGTGGATGCGTAACTAATTTATAGATTTGAATCTCAATTGAGTGTACTTGAGACAAAAAACCAATGAAATTATCATCAACGCTTATTACCACACAAATCCTTACTATGTCCTATGCACTGCCGTTTCCTTCTAGCTATAATATAATGGGTGATTTTTTGCTAGTATCTTTTTGGCAACACTATTTTTGACAGATGACGCGTCAATCGTGTCTTGTGTCATTGTCAAACTTGTTCAGTTTGGTCTATAATTTAACCATGAATCGACTTACGAACGAACAACGCTTGCAAATTATTGAATTTTACTATCAAAATTCATGCTCGGTTAGGAGAGTGCATCGAGCACTGCTTCCAATTTATGGGCAATTTGGTCGGCCCACTGAGGGAGCTATTCGGAAGCTTGTGACTAAATTTCGAACCCAGTTTACATTATTGGACATTAAACCACCAACACGCAGCCGTCGAGTGAGGACTGAAGAAAATATTGCGGCTGTATCCGCCAGTGTTAGTGATGACCGCCAAATGTCGATTCGCCGCCGTTCGCAGCAATTGGGCCTCTGTTACTCCACTACGTGGAAAATTTAGCGACAGGATTTGGGTGTAAAACCTTATAAGATACAGCTGGTGCAAGAATTGAAGCCACACGACCTCCCACAACGTTTCCAATTTGGTGAATGGGCGCTGGAAAAGTTGGAGGAAGATCCAAATTTTTATCGAAAAATGTTCAGCGACGAAGCTCTTTCCTGGTTAAATGGGTACGTTAACAAGCAAAATTTCCGCATCTGGAGTGAAGACCAGCCAGAAGCATTGCAAGAGCTACCAATGCATCCCGAAAAAATCACTGTTTGGTGTGGATTATGGGCCGGTGGCATCATCGGGCCGTACTTCTTCAAAGACGACAATGGCCGGAACGTAACTGTGAATGGCGAGCGCTACC